AGCTATAGAATAGAAGTGGTACCCGCCACGGCTATTAACGGCGGCAGGGAGGCCATAAGAACAGTGGGCCAACGCTACATATTAACGCAGGAGGCGATAAGAATGAGAGCAACCACGTGGCGACAATCCGCGCAGGGGGCCATGCAATGAGTGGCGGCAACGCCTTACGGCGATTAACGCAGGAGCCACGGCGCAATAAAAGGCAACGCTTCACGCCGATTAACGCAGGGCCATAAGAATGAGTGGCTGCAATCGCCCAAAAAACAAAAAACCCACCCCACCAAACACAAACCAACCTACGGGCGAAACCGCGCAGCTGGGTGAATGAAAGGCGGCACGGGCGACAACGCAGGGGGCCATAAGAACAGGCGAGCAACTACGGCAGATTAACGCGCAGGGAAAGGCAAAATGGCGGAAAACGACTGATCACAATCAACGCGCAGAGCCACAAGAATGAGTGGCGCAACCGCTCACGGCTACAACGCGCAGGTAAATATAAGAATGCGGCGCAACCGCTCACGGGCTATTAACGGCGCAGGGAGTGTCATAAGAAATTATGGCGAAATCGCTCACACGCCCATTAACGCGGCAAGGGGACCATAAGAATAGGGCGCAACGCCACGGGCGATGGAAGCCATAAGAATGAGGGCGCAACGCCTTACGGGCGCAATTAATGCAGGGGGCCATGAATGAGTGGCGCAACGCTTTGATGCAAATAACGCGGCAGGTAAATACAGAATGGTACGCAATCGCCTCAGCAAGATTAACGAGGCAGGGGACCACTAAGACGAGTAGCAACACCCACGGCGATTAACCAGCAGGAGGCTATAAGAATGAGTGGCGCAACGCCTACGGGCGACACGCGCAGGGGGCCAAAGTGAGTGGCGCAAACGCCTTTACGGGCGATTAACGGCGGGAGGCCAAAGAATGAGTGGCGAACGCCAAGGCGTGGCGACACCAGGAAATACAAGAATGAGTGGCGGCAACGCTCACGGCCATAACGCGTAAGGCGACCATAAGAATGAGTGGCGGCAACGCCAACGGCGATTAACGCGTAGGAAACAAAAGAAGAGGCCACAACCACCACGGCGATTAATCGCGCAGGGGGCCATAAGAATGAGTATGCAACGCCTTACGGCGACAACGGCAGGAAATACAAGAATGAGTGGCGCAACGCCAATACGGGCGATTAACGGCGGCAGCCAAACACCAACCCCAAAACCCAGGAGGCCACAAGAATGAGTGGCGCAACACTTTACCGGCGATTAACGGTAAAATAATGAGTGGCGCAACCGCCACGGGCGATTAACGGCAGGGGCCAGAATATAAGCGCAACGCCACTGGCGACAACGCGCAGAATAGTGGCGCAATTTCACGGCTACTAACGCAGAGGGGGCCACAAGAAAAGTGACGCAACGCCTTACGGCTATTAACGGCGGCAGGGGGCCATAAGAATGAGTTGCGTAAACACCACAAGACAACGGCGGTAAGAATGAGATAACCGCCACGGCGACAACGCGCAGGGGGCCATAACCGAATTAACGCGGCAAGCAATCGCTGGCCACCACGGCGACAACGGCGGCAGGGGGCCAGGCGGCGCAACGCTCAACACTGGCGAACAACGCGCAGGGGGCCATAATTAGCAACGCTCACGGGCCATTAACGGCGGCAGGGGGGCCATAAGAATGAGTGGCGTAAACGCCACGGCCTATTAACGGAAGCCATAAGAATGAAAGGGCGCCAATCGCCTTAATACGGCGATTAACGGCGGCAGGGAGGCGACAAGTGGCGGCACCGCCTTTATTGGATGGCTGTATCGGCGGCAGTAAAATACAAGAATGAGGGCGTAACGCCGCGGGCGATTAACGGCGGCAGGGAGGCCATAACCAGTATGCACCGCTTCACGGCGATTAACGGCGTAAACAGGAAACAGGCAGCGGTAATCGCCTTACGGGCGATTAACGGCGCTGGGGCGATAAGAATGAGTGGCGGCAATCGCCTGGCGCGATTAACGCGGAAGGCAGTGGCGGCAATCGCCTTTACGGCTATTAACGGCGCAGGGCCGGCAAGAATAGTGGCGGCAATCGCTCACGAAGCATTAACGCGCAGGAGGCGAGTAAGAATGAGTGGCGGCAACGCTTTACCGGCGACGAACGCGCAGGGGGCCATATAAGAATGAGGGCGGCAACGCCTGACGGGCTATTAACGGCAGGGGGCCATAAGAATGAGATGCAATCGCCTGAAGGGCGACTAACGCGTGAGCCGAAGAATGAGTGGCGGCAATCGCCCTCGGGCGATTAACGGCGCAGGAGGCCATAAGAATGAAAGTGGCGTAACGCCTACGTGGCGACACCATGCAGGGGAGGCGATAAGAATAGTGGCGGCAATCGCCTTACGGCGATTAACGCAAGTGCAGGGGGCCATAAGAATGAGTGGCGGCAATCGCCTTACGGGCGACATTAACGGGCGGGGGCCAGTAAGAATGAGTGGCGCGCAACGCCTTTACGGGCGATTAACGGCGCGGGAGGCCATAAGAGTGGCGCAACGCCTTACGGGCGACACAACGGCCGCGCAGGGGAGGCTGCAAGAATTTAGTGAAGTGCGCAATCGCCTGCGCGATTAACGCGGCAGGGAGGCTGGCGGCGATTGCGGCGCAATCGCTACGGCGATTAACGGCGGTAGGTGCCATAAGAGAGGGCGCAATCGCCTTTACGGGCGATTAACGGTAAAATGGCAAGAGTGGCGCAACGCTTACGGCGATTAACGGCGCAGGGGCGATATGAATGAGTGCGCATCGCTTTTACGGATGCATTAACGCGTGCAGGGGGCGAGCAGAATGAAAGGCAATCGCCTCACGGGCGATTAATGCCAAAATTACAAGAATGAGTGGCGGCAACGCTCACGGGCGATTTAACGGCGGTAGGGCCATAAGAATGAGTGGCGGCAACGCCCACGGCGATTAACCACGGCAAAGGAGCGCTATAAGAATGGCGCGCGTAACGCTTTACGGCGATTAACGGCGGCAGGAGGCGATAAGAATGAGTGGCGTAATCGCCTTTACGGGCGATTAACGGGCGCAGTAAAATAAGAAGCAGGCGGCAATCACTTTACGGGCGATTAACGCAGGGGGCCATAAGAACAGTGGCGCACCGCCCGGGCGATTAACGGCGCAGGGAGGCCATAAGAATGAGTGGCGGCAACGCTTTACGGGCGGCCACGGCGTAAATGGGTGAATGAGTGGCGGCAATCGCCTACGGGCGATTAACGGCGGCAGGGGGCTATAAGAATGAGTGGCGGCGGCAACGCCTTGACGGGCATTAACGGCGTAGGGGGCCATAAGAATGAGTGGCGCAATCGCCTTCACGGCGATTAACGGCGGCAAAACGCGCACGAGTGGCTGCAATCGCCTTACGGCGACAATCTGGGCGTAAAGCCGCTAAGAATGAGTGGCTGCAATCGCCTTACGGGCGATTAACGCGCGCAGGGGGGCCATAAGAATGAAAGTGCGGCGGCAATCGCCTTACGGGCGATTAACCGCGGCAGGGGGCCATAAGAATGAAGTGGCGGCAATCGCCTTTACGGGCGATTAACGGGCGTAGTAAACAGCTGAGGGCGGCAATCGCCTGACGGCTTATTAACGCGTGCAGGGGGCCATAAGAATGAAGTGGCGCACCGCCCACGGCGATTAACGGCGCAGGGAGGCCATAATGAGTATGCACCGCCTTACGGGCGATTAACGGCGGCAGGGGGCGATAAGAATGAAGGGCGGCGCAACGCTCACGGGCGATTAACGGCGGCAGGAGGCGATAAGAAGCGAGTGGCGGCAACGCCCACGGGCTTATTAACGCAAGTAGGAGGGCCAAAAAGAATGAGGTGGCGGCGCAACGGCCACGGCGATTAACGGCGGCAGGGGAGGCCATAAGAATGAGTGCGGCAACGCCTTACGGGCGACACACACCCGCGCAGGGGGGCCGCGGCGAATGAGCGGGCGCAACGCCCGGCGATTAACGGCGGCAGGGGCTTGGCAAGAATGAGTGGGCGCACCGCCACGGGCGCATTAACGGTGGCAGGGGGGCCATAAGATGAGTGGGCGCCAATCGCCTGACGGGCGTATTAACGCGCAGGGGAGGCCGATAAGCATGAGTGGGCGTGCAGGAGGCGATAAGAATGAAGTGGCGGCAATCGCCTTACGGGCGGACACGGCGCAGGGGCCAAGACAATCACAATCTAATGATCTAGTGAAGGAAAACTCTGTCCCTGTGTTCTTAAGCACAAGTCAGTAGAATTGAAGGAGGTTTTGGTGTTGGAAGAGCAGAGATACAGGTTTCACAGCTAGGCTTATTCAGTTTGGACACAACAAAGCCATACTTTCTATACCAATGTTCACCTATCTCGCACCTTAATCAATTTTTTTTCTAATTTAAAAGCAATTGGTTGGGACAGTTTGTTACAGCATCACCTTGTTTAGCCCCGACCCATTTATACACCCGATCATAGCTCACTCGGCCGCCCAACGAACTGGAGAATCTGGATATTTACACTGTAGATCAACTAATCCCAACCTAGCAGATTAGGTTAGGGTTACAGACCTGTGTAAATATCCCGGTATATATATATATAAGAGAGAGAGAGAGAGAGAGAGAGAGAGAGAGAGAGAGAGAGAGAGAGAGAGAGAGAGAGAGAGGAGGGAAGATTTTCATGTATTAATAATTAGTATCCAACCTCAATACCTCTTTAAATCCATCAACAAACCAAGGAAGCAACCTATAATCTTTAAGAATGAAAGCTAGCTTAGGAAATGAAGTTAATGAAGAAAGCAAGATGAGTACATCCAGCACGAGCAGTTTTAGCAAAAGATTATTAAAAGCCATTGCCCCCTAACTCAGTGAACGTCATATTTACAGTTTACAAAGAATAAATTTGAGATGATATAATGAGTGCATATACAGAAATAATGTTGGAGGTCATTCTCGCCAGATATAGATATATACGGGCCCCTGATGGAACAGCGCTGGGTTAAAATGACTCTGGACGTAAGGGTTGGTATGTAGGGACGAGGGGCAAGTGTGTTAGAGAGAAGTAATAGTTTATACTATTTATGCATATTGAGAGTGTAACTAATCGTGACAATATTCTTGCACTGTGTTTAAGTAAATGGCTGGAAATTGGTAAACAATCAACAAAATAAAATGCATAGCATACTTTTGTTTTCAGAGTAATGACTCACACTTTATGTTCTACTTTGTTATCAATAATTTATCTTTATATAAAGATGGAAAGTTGAAGGATAATCTTAAGTTTTATATGAGCTATAATAAAAATACAATTGATCATATACAGCGTAATTTATTGTTTGCATTTCTAAAAATAATTGTCTAAAAATATTATTTTACGTAGGAGGCGGACATTGGTCTTGGCCCCTTTGGTGTGAGCGCCACTCGAGCTGAGATGGTGGACTTCACGAGGGAGATATTAACAGAGACAGCGAGGATCATGGGAGGTCGGGGTCTGCCGGAGATGAATCCTTGGGGATTCCTACTGCCCCTGGCACCGCTGGTGTGGGTGGGCATCCTGACGGCGATGCTGGTGGTACCTGCTGTGGTATTCTTCCTATGGTCAATTACCGGGTTAAGAAATAACGATGATACTGTTAGCTCCTCCGATATGTTTTTTTGTTACCTTCGTGTATTTTTACAACAAGGTAAGTTGGTAAGTTCACAACAAATAGGTAGAGTAACTTTTATGCATTTAAGCATGCCTCTCTCTCTCTCTCTCTCTCTCTCTCTCTCTCTCTCTCTCTCTCTCTCTATATATATATATATATATATATATATATATATATATATATATATATATATATATATATATATATATATATTGTTACGCCGTCTCTCAATTTACTTTAATATCCAGGTTCTAGGCGTAACCAAACAAAAAAGTGAAGTAAATTAAAAGGGAATAAAAATAAATAAAGTAAACCTTTAAGAATTTAATTGATAAGGAAGGTAGAAGCACATGGAATAGGTGGATCATTATTAAAATGGATTAGGTCATGGTTAACTGGTAGGAAACAAAGAGTCAGCATAAATGGATTTAAGTCAGACTGGGGTGCGGTCAAAAGCGGAGTTCCCCAGGGATCTGTATTAGGCCCTCTGCTATTTGTTATATTCATTAATGATCTTGATTTAGGTATAACTAGTAGGATTAGTAAATTTGCAGATGATACCAAAATGGGGAGAGTGATAAATTCAGACAGTGACTTTGAACACCTTCAAAGAGATCTAGATACCTTACATGAGTGGTCAGTAGACTGGCAAATGAATTTTAATACTGATAAATGCAAGGTACTACAGATAGGGAAGACGACTACAAACGTTAAGTATAAACTAGGTAACACGGAAATAGAAAACTCAGATTGAGAAAAAGATCTAGGTGTATTTGTTGGCAACGACTTGAAACCTAGAAAACAATGTATTAGCGTTCGCAACAAGGCAAACAGGATTCTTGGGTTCATATCTAGGAGTGTGAGTAACAGAACTGCTGACGTTATCTTGAAACTTTACCTAGCATTAGTGAGGCCACACATGGATTATGCGGTTCAATTCTGGTGTCCTTATTATAGAATGGACATAGATTCTTTGGAGAGAGTACAAACAAGAATGACAAAAATGATCCATAATATTAAAAACCTTCCATATGAAGAAAGACTGAAAAGCTTAGGCTTGCATTCATTAGAGAGGCGTAGAGTTAGGGGAAATATGATAGAGGTGTTCAAGTGGGTAAGTGGGATTAACAAGGGTAAAATGGAAGATGTTCTGAAGCTCAGTAATAACGAAATAACTAGAACAAATGGCTTTAAATTAGATAAATTCCGATTCAGAAAAGATATAGGCAAGCACTGGTTTGGTAATAGAGTTGTGGATATGTGGAATAGGCTACCGAGTGCTATAGTAGGAACGGGGACGCTAGAGAGCTTCAAGACGAAGTTGGATAGACACATGGAAGTGCTGGGATGGGTGTGAAAGGGATCTGCCCTGTATGGGCCAGTCGGCCTCCTGCAGTATCCCACTTTCTTATGTTCTTATGTAAAGAGCCTCGTAGGCTGTCACAACATAAGAACATAAGAATGGAGGAAACTGCAGCGGGCCTATTGGCCCATCCTGGGCAGTCCCGTTTACACCCAACCCCTATTGCTAATATGAGCATCCAACCTATGTTTGAAGCAATTGAGCTTATTCGAGTTAATGATGATATTTGTTAACTTGTTCCATTCATCCACTACTCTGTTTCCAAACCAGTGTTTACCTATTTCACACCTAAATCTAAATTTGTCTAATTTAAAACCATTGTTACGAGTTCGCTCCTAGTTGGATAGTTTGAGTACCTTTGTAATGTCCCCTTTGTTTAGCCCTGCCTTCCACTTATACACCTCTATCAGGTCGCCCCTCGCTCTACGTCTCTCAAGGGAGTGCAAATTAAGATGCTTTAACCTGTCTCTATACTCAAGGTTCCTAATGCCCGGGATTAGTCTTGTCATTCTCCTCTGAATTCTTTCCAAGGATTCTATATCCATTCTGTAATACCGTGACCAGAACTGAACTGCGTAATCCAGGTGTGGTCTCACAAGAGCAAGATACAGTTTTAGGATGACCTCGCTAGTCTTGTAACTAACACTCCTTTGCATGAACCCAAGTACTTTATTAGCCTTGTTACGAGCAAAAACACATTGTTTACTTGGCTTAAGGTTCCTTCTTATCATTACTCCTAAATCTCTCTCGCAGTCGGATTTCTCTATGGCATCGTTGTTCATCTGGTATCTGGTTTCCCTGTTTACATCTCCTATACTGAGTACTTTACATTTGTCGACGTTGAATTTCATCTGCCATTTTTCAGACCATTCGAAAATTTTTTTTAGATCTTTCTGTAGTTTTGCCGAGTCCTCGTCAGATTTGATAACACGGCCTATTTTAGTGTCATCAGCAAATTTACTTATGTTGCTGTCAATGCCGATATCTATGTCGTTTATGTATATAATAAAGAATAATGGCCCAAGTACTGAGCCTTGGGGAACTCCACTTGTGACGTTGCTCCAATGGGACTTAGTGCCGTTAATGCTCACTCGCTGTTTCCTGTCCTGTAACCACGCCCTAATCCATTTAAGGATGTCACCTTTGATGCCATGAGCTTCTACCTTTCTAATTAGTCTTTCGTTGGGAACTCTGTCGAAGGCTTTGCTAAAGTCGAGATATACCACATCATAATTGTGCCCCTCGCCCACCGATTTGAAAACTGATGAAAAGAATGTTAATAGATTAGTTAGGCAAGAACGTCCGCTTGTGAAGCCATGCTGGGAATCATTGATCAATCGGTGCTTCTCCAGGTGATTTCGAATAGAGTTTGAAATGATTGCTTCCAGTAATTTGCCTACTATTGATGTTAGACTGATTGGGCGGTAGTTAGAGGATAGTGATCTATCCCCTTCTTGAAAATCGGTATTACATTCGCTATCCTCCAGGATTCTGGTACTACACCTGTTTTTTATGACGCATGTTAAACAACTTTGCTAAGGGCATACTAAGCTCTTCCTTACATTCCTTTAATACTCTGGCAAATATCTCATCGGGACCAGGTGACTTATTAGGCTTTAGTTTGTCTATTTGCTTACTAACATCGTTACTAGTCACTACTATCTCACTTAATTTTTTTCTTCACTATCTCTGAATAGAGTCGGTGCCTCGGGTATCATGTTTAAATTTTCGGTGGTGAAAACTGTTGAAAAATATTTATTCAAATTATTGCTCATTTCTCCGTCGTTATCAGTGAGCTCGCCGAAGTCTGACCGTATTGGTCCAATCTTTTCTCGTGTTTTAGTTTGATACATTTGGTAGATTCCTTTGGGGTTTGTCTTCGCCTCCCTTGCTATCCTTACCTCATTATTCCTCTTTGCTTTCCTTATTTCGGTTTTAACCCTACTCGCCAATAACCTATAATAGTCCCAGAAGTGAATTTCGCCACGATTTATCCTTCTACCTATAGCCTTCCTTTGGCCAATGATGTTCTTTAAATAATTATTTATCCATTTAGCATCATTATTGTCTGATCTGAGTTTTTTGTATGGTATGTTCTGCCTTTGTGCATTAAGTAACTCACTATTTAAATTGTCGTGGAACTCGGCAATCTCAGATCTCGTTATCAGGTCGGTGTCATCTGTCAGGTTCACAGCCAAGAGCGACACCCCCTCTCTCAGCTGCCTCTTTAAACTGTCAAAGTTTGCCCTTCTGAAATCTGGTACTTTAGTGGAATTTTCCTTACGTCTGCCCTGAAAATCTAACTGGAATCGAATTTCTTTGTGATGGCTGTTTGCAAGTTCGTTCCCTACCTCGACATTGCTAATTAGGTTTCTCTGTTCCACAGAACTAAGTCCAGTATATTATCGAAACTTTTAAGACACAAATGATACTAAACATCGAAACATCAAAAGAATAAAAATAAAACATTGGATTACGTTAACACTGAAATTAATTACAGTAGAACAACACTGAATTACTTAAATGCAACTAAGCAAACACTGATGGACACACAAGAGACATAAATAGGTACTCACATAGATATACCACATTGGTGGCGACAGGAACAACACTGTAATAAAATAAAGTAAGGAACAGGTGACGGGTGTCACTCAAAAGAACGTGAACTGAATGACAAGAGGGACTGGACAGCCCTCCGTCTACTGGTGAACACTATATATAGGGTCCAGCTCCCGCCAATGCGACCAGCCAGCCTGTGAAACATGGATCATTTAACAATGCAGATGGTCTTTAGGGAAACAATGAATGCTTGTTACAATACTAAATGAAGGAATAAGATGGGCTTGAACAAATATAATAGTAAATATAACACATCATTACAGGAATAATATAGAACAACATGGAAGCATGTTATATAACAACAAAAAATAGAAAAATACGACACGGTCGTAACAATATATATATATATATATATATATATATATATATATATATATATATATATATATATATATATATATATATATATATATATATATGCAAATAAATCACTGTAGGTGCGCGTGATCCAGGTATATGCTGATAACCACAAGGAAAAAGAAAACACGAAGTTTCCAAGCGCTTTAGTGTACAGTAATTCACATCTTCAGGGGTGAGTACAAACTAAAGTAGAAGTGCAGAACAAGTTATATATACAGAGGAGGGTGAGATCAGGTCCACAAAGGTCAAGTATAGGTAATGACCCTACTAATCTTCACAAAAGCACCTCAGCGGTCGGTAGTCAGGTCAGAGGGAAAACTGACCCAACCTTCTCACCTGGTTACAAATCTTCTTAATTACAAAATTGTCCAATTTGTACATACCATTACTCAAATTCATGTTAACGGATTCGGTATGTTTAATGAGACTAGATTCTATAATGTTCCTACTGTCAATTGAATTACAAGGTAATATTGAGGAGGCATTACCCGGGGGATAATAAACATTGCATTGTATGTGTGTTTGTGTGTTTGTGTGTAGTGATGATGGAAGGTATTATATGTAGCGATGATGGATGGTGTTATATGTAGTGATGATGGATGATGATGTTATATGTAGTGATGATGGATGGTGTTATATGTAGTGATGATGGATGGTGTTATATGTGATGGTTACAAGTGTTCCCTGAAGAATGCAGTGATGGGTAGGGAAACACCGGGTAACATTGAAGTCCGTTTATTATGGATGAGAGAAATACAAGTGGTGACTAGTGTGTGCCATGCATGGCTCACACAGTCAGACTGAGGCTGCCTTGCCATATGGCAGCCTCGGAGCATTGTTGCCACATAACACGTGCAGTGTTGCCACGTAATTATATATATAAATGCTACTCGGCAGAGTAGCTTATTTACAGGGTTGCTACTCGGCACAGTAGCTTATTTACAGGGTTGCTACTCGGCACAGTAGCTTATTTACAGGGTTGCTACTCGGCACAGTAGCTTATATACATAACCTACATCTCCCTCCCCCCTCACGCTCATAGTCTTTGTCTTCAGCGGACTTCTTAGTCCTAAGTCGCTCCGAGCGTCGAGGTGCACTGTGGGGCGGATCCTCGTGAGGTGTAGGTGACTCGTCCTCGGTCAGGGGGCCAGCAGCAGGGGGTGGGACTGGCCGGAGGAAACGGCGGTTCCTCCACCAGACACGGCCGCTCGGCATCCTGACCTTGTGGTCCAGCGACCGGCCGACGCCCATTACTATGCCCACTTTGTCCCAACGTGTCGTCGTCGGGTCCTGGACGCGGACAAGGGCACCAATCTCCAGCGGCTGAAGAGGGCGGGCACGGTAGTCATACCGAGCCTTGGCGTCCTGGGCACGTGAAGCGGCGCGGCGGTCGCAGCTCTCGGCTCTGGTCTGCCACTCCTTCGCAAAGGCCTTGGCGTGTGCAGGAACGCAAGAGCGGAGAGGGTGACCATACAGGATCTGGGCAGGGTAGCGTCCTGTGTGGGTGGGAGTGGACGCGGGTTCTGGGCAGCTCTGTGTGGCAGCGCCAGGCGCGTCGCTCGTCGACTCACGCACCCTGCTGGCGGTGTAACAAGCAGCTGGGATCTGCTCGGGAAAGCCTCTGGGTACCACGCATAACTCTTTGAGGTGCTCCCACGACAACAAGGGTGTAGTGAGAGTAGGCTGCACGTCGATCCATCCGTGACACGACCTGTCGCCGTAAGTGATCTCCCCTTGAAAGGAGCCCACAGCGTCCGGCATCTGGGAACCGTCGGCATTGTAGTACTGCAGCTGCGGCGGTGGTCCCAGGCCGCGTTTGGTGAGGCGCAGGTTCTGGAGGTGCTTCAACCCAATCACCGTAGCATCGGCGCCGGTGTCCGGTATCACCTCGATGTGACCCGACACATCACCGTGTGTGACGGCGACGCGGATAGTAGGGGAAGGGGTAGCCCTGGGGCGTGTGGTCGAGTCCACCCTCCTGATGTGACTCCACTGCTGCTTGGGACTGCGTGGGCCATCTGGAGGGGGCTGCGTGCGAACCAACCCGAGGGAAGTGCGCTGCTTTCCTCCTCGTCTCGGGCTTTTGGGCTTGGGTTGGCGGGAGCACTTGTCGTAGTGTCCATAGCGACCGCAGGCCTGACACTTGCGGCCTCGTGCAAGGCAGCTGTCTGTGTTAGACCAGTGGCCCCTAAGGTCACATCCACGACACAGTGCGTCGGCGGCCGGGCATGTCTTGGGGCTGTGCTGCTTTCCACAGCTGCCACAGGAAGCACTAGGCGGAGGCGTGGAAGAACGTGTGGCAGCCTTCGCGTTGTTGGCCGCCTTCTTACCCTTCTTGTACTGTGAGATAGCTCTCACAGCAGGTGGGGCCTGTAAGGCAGAGGTGGCGGACTTGGTGGCCTCGTACGACCGACATTCAGTCACTACCACCTGGAGTGTGGAGGAAGCGTCCAGGGGGATGAGTCGCTGCACAAACTCTTCGTGCCTGACACCTGTCAAGATCCCGTGCTTGATCCAGGCTTCCTCACATTCCCGGCTGTGCGCCTTGCAGACGTCGATCTCCTCTGACAAACTCTTCAAGTGTACAAAAAAGTCGTCAAAGGATTCGTTCTCCGCCTGCTTGCAGCTGGTGAAGGCGCGGCGACGTAAAGCCTCGTTATTCCGACCTTTAACGTGCTCCTGTAAAAGGTCGAGCACATCCGTCACTGAAGATGTAGAATCGGGAGGCACTTGCAACGTGTGCTCCAAAACTCTCTGGGTCTCCAGCAACAAACACTTCCGCAGTTGGATGAGCTGTTTGTTTGGAGGCATGCTGTCAAGGTCCACCATCGTGGAGTAATCTGTCCAACGCCGCCTCCACTCACGAAAAAGCTGAAATGTGACGTCTGGTGAGAGGGCGGGTGGGGGTTGAACAGATGCCTTGGGAGCTGTTGGGGTAGCAAGAGTGCCTGCAGGACGCTGGTGTGGTGGAGGAGGGAGGGTACTGGCGCCTATATGCGCGCTACCTGCGAGTGAGGGAGGGTGGGTTAGCGCCAGGGTCGCCAATAGTGCCTCAAAACGCAACTTTTCCTCCTCTCTTCGTGTCTCCTCCCTCTGAAGTTCCATCTCTCTGCGTCTCTCGTCCCGGTCGTCCATCCACCTCAGAATTGTGGCAATGTCCGTCACTGGAGGTGGAGGATGAGAGTCTGCGCCCGGTGGAGGGGAAGGTGGTGGGGAGTCGTGTCTCCCATCTTGACGTTGTCCCTTCTTACCGCCCATCTTAGTGTGTGCGTGGACTGCACTGTTTAGTATATAAAGTGGCGCCTCAACAGCTCGAACCCGCCGCCTGCCAAACGCAAACAGCTCCACAGAAATAATGCAGGAGTCCACTGTTCTGTCCTTGAGTAAGTGCGTGCGTGCGTGTCGTAATGTCTGAGACATAGATGCACTTCGTGGTGGCCTTAATGCCGGTAGCTACCGACGCGGGGGTGAGACCGTCAGTGTCTCCGGGATATCACAGGAAGAATTATGCGCCTCGTGCTCCGTGGGTACCACAAAAACAGGCCAATGCACTGACACTACCTGCCACCGTCACTAAAGAAGCACTGTGACGGCCCAACCTTACTACTGTCGCGGCGAAACCTGGCGCACCAACACACTAGTCATGTAGCGCACATCGCCGGCCCTGATGTAACCCGTCGGCATAGTTCACACCTTTGTAGTCCACAGATCCTAGTCACTGCGCCATGATAGTTTAAGTGTTCCCTGAAGAATGCAATGATAGTGAAACACCGGGTAACACTGAAATCCGTTTATTATGGATAGAGAGAAATACAAGTGGTGACTAAACGTGTGCCATACCGCGTCTCACAATCAGACTGAGGGCTGCCTTGCCCATAGCAGCCTCGGGAACTAATATTGCCAAATAACGCGTGCAGTGTTGCCCGTAATTATATATATAAATGCTACCGGCACAATGGCTTATTTACAGTTGCTATACTGTTAAAGGTGACAGAATCACCAACCTACAATATGTAGTGATGATGAATGATGTTATATGTATGTTGATATTGATGGATGTTGTTATGTATAGTCATGATGGAAATTTGGTGTGTTATAGGTAGTGATGATTTTACAATAAAAGAGAATAACAGTTTAATGCCTAAAATATACTTTGCTGTACCGTTGTAGTGGAACTTACATACACCATTAATGAACTAATGATGGAAGAAAGAAGTTTTGGGGACTGAACAATTGAGGAGACAATGTGGAGCCCCTGGAGGGTGGCGTCCTACCTTGGCCTAGCGAATGAGACGCCCGGACCAAACTTGGCATGGATAGCAAGTGTTTCCTTGCTTCTCTCATGGACAGTTCTATGTTGGATGCTACAGAGTGGGAACTGGCAAAAATCTGTACATACTTGCTGCTAATGGCAAAACCAAAAATGTGGTCTACCCTAATACACTACAGTGAGACAATGTGGAGCCTCCCGGAGGGTGGCGTCCTACTGTGTGTGTCCGCACCAGCATCTCTGAAACTACTTTACCGATCTGTAGTGATGATGGATGGTGCTATATGTAGTGATGATGGATGGTGTTATATGTAGTGATGATGGATGATGTTATACGTAGTGATGATGGATGGTGGTATATGGTGTGATGATGGATGAGGTTATATGTAGTGATAATGGGTGGTATTATATGTAGTGATGATTAGACAATAAAATAATAACAGTTTAATGCTAAAAAAGTATACTTTGCTGTACCGTTGTAGTGGAACTTACATACACCGTTAATGAACTATTGATGGAAGAAGAAGTTTTGGGGGCTGAACAGTGAGACAATGTGGAGCCTCCCGAGGGTGGCGCTCAACATGGCCTAGCGGATGAGCAGTTCGAAAGGCGGCGATTCTGCTAGTATATTATATTATATTAATAAAATCACACAGGAAAAGTGGAAACAATACTCCTGTATATAAATATATATATATATATATATATATATATATATATATATATATATATATATATATATATATATATATATATATATATATATATATATATATATATATATATATATATATATATATATATATATATATATATATATATATATGTATATATATATTTGACGAATTATCGACCTATTGAAGTATAATTATTTCTTTCCGTCAAAAAAAAGTTTAGTTTGTGACTATATCTTGCCAGGAAGCACTGTGTCTCCTGACCCGTGGTGGGAGAGGACAGTGTTAGCCGTGTGGATGATAACCATGTTGGTGTTGACCAAGAGCTACGCCGGCAACCTCATGTCCAATTTAGCTGTGAGATACATCCCTCAACCCTATCAGTCTCTCCGGGACGTGCTTGACGACCCCTCTGTCACTATGATATGGGAGGCCAACAACGCTTACGTGCAATATTACCGCGTGAGTTTTTTTTTTTTTTACCCATTCCGCATTTTCTAAAGGAACTGAGGTGTTAATAAGGTATTCGTGATTTTATTGTAATCTGCACCTTAACACAGTCAATAATAAATATTTTTTTTTTTCTGCCATTTCTATCTTCTATGTTTAATTAAGCCACGTGTTTGCTCTATAGAATATCTCGGGCCTCATTTTTTACCAGGCTGTGGAATCTGGCGTGTTCCGAGAAATAGCTGACTTGGAATCTGAAGGACGCATTAAGTATGTGAGGAGCACAGAGTTCCCCAGTAGCATTGATATCTTCGTCAGGAATGGCGACCACGTCTTGATAGCAGAGGATCGTTACGAGAGAGTCCTCATGGCTCAAGATTTCTCACGAACAGGTGCAAAAAAAAATATTACATATTTTCGTATATTAGACACGAATTTCAACGCACCATTGAAGTAAATTACAGTCCCAGGTTTCAAGGGTTCCCTAGAACCACAATGTAATATATCAAATTACACATTTTCCCCACTCCGCGCCATCAGAATGCTTCCTCAATATTCAAAGAATTTAATTGAATATACCCCCACTTATTCGCCCTTGAATCAATGAAACAACTGATTGTTAATTAACCTGAAATTAAAATAATTTGCATATTTGCTCCTGAGAGGTCGGTGTGACTTCTACTCGTCCAGATCAAGGTTCTTGCCCTTCATGTCTTCAATGGTTGGCGCGAAAGACAGTCCTTTGGTTCCTGTCATTAGTGTTGGGTAATTGTGATATCTTTTATTGTTTTATTTTTCAATATATTTATATATGTATATATATATATATATATATATATATATATATATATATATATATATATATATATATATATATATATATATATATATATATATATATATATATATATATATATATATATATATATATATATATATATTACAACTTCGTATTGGTTCCTTCTGTTACTTCAAGAAATTACCAGAATAGTTTTTTGACACTGAAAACTCGCGAATCAATTTTTCTTGTGATGCGATAAACTATTCATGAGCTCTATTGTGGTGTGCAAGAATTCGAGCTGTTGAAGTGTCAATCTTCCCTTTACAGCATCAAGGCGGTGACTCAGACAGGATTGTACGACCAGTGGACGGAGAATTACATGCCTAATGCTACTTTCTGTGCACATCCACCTACCAAAATTACCGTCAACACCTCATTAACCTTCCACAACCTCTGGGTGAGCTAACCTAACATCACATATAAAAGAACAATTAACCTCATATTAGTACTATCATTGGCATCTGAAGTCCCTTTGGCAGTTGTATAACCCTCTATAATATATTGCGTGTTTCAGGGGATGTTCGCAGTGATCCTCGGAGGACACGTCGTCAGCATTCTCATATTGGGGCTCGAGCTCCTAAATGTTAGACTATTTCGCCTCTGAATGTACGATCACACGAAGGCGAGAAATGATATCACCTACATCCCTTCATAACTTCATAGGAGAAAATATGAAGTCAACATACGTATTTATCTACAGTGACATGCTGCCTTAGGTGAGCAGACATTAACGAGGTAAACGTTGAACCAGATTCTCACCAATAAGGAATGAACTAAGCATAGTATAACGATAAAGTTTAACACAATGAATATTACATTACCTAGTTTCAGGTAATATAAATTATTTAATCATTCCACAGATAAATGATAATACACTCATTAGTTTGGCATCAGTAGGATATGGACACATACACTGTCTTATTTTATATTTGATATGTGTTAAGGCTACGTAAATTATGTTCCTGATCAACCACAAATTGCACAATTGTAAACTAAGCACAAATGTATCAATTTCATCAAGCAGCAAATATGCTAAGGTCATTTTATCATATTAAGACTTCTTGATTATGTAAATAAAATATGAGATATTTTGACAACTATGTGTTTCCTAACTTATTAATGTGGACATTCAACATTATCCACAGTACTTACTTTTCAATAGTGATATATTTGTTAAGTATGCATATACCATATAACTCGTATATATTGCAATTAACTAATAATATCAATTATATACACCTTGTTTTGTACTTCTCCTTAGTCTGTACTCACCCCTGAAGATGTGAATTACACGAAAGCGCTTGGCAACTTCGTGTTTTCTTTTTCCTTGTAGTTATCAGCATATACCTGGATCACGTGCACCTACAGTGATTTACTTGCATATATATATATATATATATATATATATATATATATATATATATATATATATATATATATATATATATATATATATATATATATATATATATATATATAAACTAGCTGAATCTCGCCCTCCGGGCGGCTCTTTCGCTAGGCCACGGTAGGACGCCGCCTTCCGGGAGGCTCCACATTGTCTCATTGTAGTGCATTAAGGTAAACCACATTTTTGGTTTTGCCATAAGCAGCAAGTATGTTCAGATTTTTGCCATTTCCCACTCTGGAGCATCCAACATAGAACTGTCCATGAGAGAAGCAAGGAAACACCAGGTTTAGGCCAACCATGGCTTTTGTAGATGGTCATGGCAAAGCTCACTTTAACCGGGAACTGAAGTCGCTTGAACTCAAATGGCAGGTCAGTGGTGATGAGAGGTATCCTTGGTATAAAAAGTCCTCTCCTTTAGCTTTTCCTGTCATTATTGTAGCTTCCAGTACATGTGGCATCATGTTCTTCTTGTGAGCGACTCGTCTCTCATTTTGAGTATGATGTCTCGTTTCTCAAACTCTTGATCGACAATCAGTATGGCTACTTCATTAACTACAGGAGCATTGAATCTTCTTTCATGTTCTCCCCTAGGGGTCGTGTCTGCTTTGATCCTGACTTTTTACTCGTCAAAAGGCATGCTTTCCAGGGCATTTTTAAATGACTGTACATACGTGTTGCGCTCATGCAGCATTTCTTGGATAGATAGGACAATGTCATGTCTGACACCTTGAATGTTGCCACACCTGATAGTAGTCTGCTTTTCATGATCTCCCATGAAGTAGATTTGGAGGAACTTTGCCTGCTCATCTTCCAGTGGTAAGAGGGATCCTGCTTTGTGATAGACTTGACCCTGGACTTTGAATGTGCTCACGAACTACTCTGGTAGCTCCAAAGGATGTCATCTGGAAGCATGAATTGTACTTCAGTATATTTTCCAAGAAGTGTTTTGACTCTGGTGTTGTTCCCAGCATGAGAGTCTTCAATGGTTGTGGTGGTTTTTCCAAATTTGGCAGTCGTACTTTCCCATGAGAGCAGCACAGTCCAGCAGATTCTCCTTTATACTTCTTTGCACCGCAGTGTTCACATTTCTTATCCCTCTGTTGCCAATGACAACAGAGGGATACTTTTCATATTCTATCTCATTGTCATAGTTAAGTGCTGCTCTTGCAAGTGGATGCCACTGTGTATTCTTTCTTAGAATTCTGGATCCCGCAGCTCTCTGTCTATTAGCATTCAAACGAATTTCATGCGCTTTATCATTTTCTAGAGAAAGCCTTTCTGCTGTTTGCTGTTTGTCAGCATTAAGACGGGATTCCCTTTCCTGATCTGTTTCCTGTGACCTACTGTCCGCTGTTCGCTCTCTCTGAGCATTAAGACGGGATTCCCTTTCCTGATCTGTTTCCTGTGACCGACTGTCCGCTGTTCGCTCCGGGCGAAAACATCCACGAGGTCACGGTGGACTGCCACCCTCCTGGAAGGCTCCACATTGTCTCACTATTTCAATCCCCCAAAACTTATTTCCATCAATAGTTCATTAACGGCAGTGTATAGGAACACATGTTTTTCACTACTGGCATTTTTGTAAAGTATATTTTTTAGCATTAAAATGTTGTGTATTTTAGTGTGTCTAATCATCACCATATAACACCACCCATCATCACAACATATAACACCATCCATCATCACTACATATAACACCATCACTCATCATATCTCTTTTCATCCATCATCACTGCATATAACACCATCCATCATCACTACATATAGCACCACCATCACTACTACCACCATCATCACTACCACCATCATTACCAATAGAACCAGTCTCTACCACCACCTATCACCACCAACATGCCGCTATCCTTATCACCACCACTACCACTGTCACTGCCACCGTCACCACCACTACATAATAGCATCATCCATCATCACTACACATATAACACCATCTAACATCTACATATAACACCATCCATCATCACTACATATAACACCATCCATCATCACTACATATAACACCATCATCATCACTACATATAACTCCATCCATCATCACTACATATAACACCACTCTGTCATCTTACTACATATAACACCATCCGTCATCACTACATATAACACCATCCGCCATCCTACATATAACACCACCCAGCATCACTACATTTTTAACACCATCATCATCACCATATAACACCACCCATCATCACTACATATAACAACATCCATCATCACTACATATATATCCATCATCACTACATATAACACCATCCATCATCACTGAATAAGTAAATTAGTTTCGAGATTTCATGCGGACACACAAAGACAAACACACAGGCATACTTATTTCTTTTATATATATATATATATATATATATATATATATATATATATATATATATATATATATATATATATATATATATATATATACCGCAAGTAACATGAATTTGAGTAAAGGCATGTACAAGCTGGACAATTTTGTAATTAAGATTTGTGATCAGGTGAGAAGGCCGGTCACTTGACCATCTGACCTGACCACCAACCGTTGTGTGCTATTTAAAGATTAGTAGGGTCATTACCTAATACCTGACCATTGTGGACCTGGTACCCTCCTCTGTATATATACACCTTGATTTGTATTACTCTCTCTAGTCTGTACCACCCTGAAGATGTGAATTACACGAAAGCGCTTAGAACTTCTGTGTTTCTTCTTCCTTGTGGTTATCAGCATATACCTAGATCACGCGCACCTACAGTGATTTACTGTATATATATATATATATATATATATATATATATATATATATATATATATATATATATATATATACATGTCTTGATAAAATCACACGGGAAAATGGAAACAACGGAGTACCTAAGCTTTCGTCCTTATTCAAGACATCTTCAGAGGCAACTGGATTACATGGACAGAGAGAGGCTTAAATATATAGGGTGACCTTAAAAACATGAGGTCAGGTCATAATGATGTCATCCACTAATCCCCACACCAACACACACGTAGAGGAGCTTAAGAGAAGGGTGGTGACGTGACTAGTGAGGTCAGGTAAAAAATATGGGACCCACAAAATAACTATCCTACATCTAGATCAAAGGTTTTCAAAGCATTTTTAACCTTGGTCCACTGACAAATAAATTTATGTAACATATTATCAGTTTTGAACTGACCATCACTAAGGTTTATTGATTTTAATTCCTTAATCAAACTAGCTTCAACCAGAAGTCTTTCTGTGACACAAGATGATTTAAATACTTCTGCTTTTCCCAAGCAATGGAGTGATAATTATTCCTAACATGAACGAACAAGGACTGCTTTCAGATGCTGTTCTGATATTATACTAATGTTGTTTGATTCTGAGCTGCAGTGTTTTTCCCTGTCTGACCTACATAATTACAATTACATTTGCTACATGGAATACAATAAACACTTCCATTTACATTCAAACTTGGGCTATTCCTTATTAACATATTGGTAATGGTTGAGTCATAACTTGAAAACAACATTAATATTTAGAAGCTTGAGGGACCGAACTAACGGGACAAATTCATTACGATAGCAGAGTCAAAATATTCTTAAGTGTAGGAACTTGTCTGGTTTGAGAGGAATGAAAGGATTTTTAGCCCTTTTAAACAACGATCAACAAACACAGAAGGGTACCTGAGTTTCTGTGCAATGGAACGAATGCGTTTCAATTCATCGTCAATAAATTCAGAGTCACAAATACACAGACATCTTAAGAACATAGCAGAAAAACTGACATTTTGGTAGACTCAAGGTGATTCGATAAAAAGTGAATGAAACTGTCTACCTGTGTGGGCTTTCTATATACCATAAATTTATGTTTTGGCCATTTCTCATGATAAGCATATCAAGGAATGGAAGGGATCCATTTATTTCTCTTCAATTTTGAATGTGATACTGAGGACAATATCATTAAGCTTGTCTAAAAATTCCAATGGGTCACTGTTTCTAGGCCAAAGACAAAGAACATCATCTACATATCTATACCATGGAGGAATAAAACCCCTATATTGGGTAGTAATCTAGACTCATATATATATATATATATATATATATATATATATATATATATATATATATATATATATATATATATATATATATATATATATATATATATATATATATATATATATATATATATATATATATATATATATATATATATATATATATATATATATATATATATATATATATATATATATATTAAAAGGTCATTGCGGAAGGGTGCCCATATTTTGCTTGGCCAATCATTGTGTGTAATTGTAGTAACTCAACTAATTTTCGTTATTGATTACTCAGTTGTTCTAACTTTTGCCTACTTTTGGTTAGTAGGTAAACGTATGTATTGACTCCATATTTTGCTTGGCCAATCATTGTGTGTAATTGTAGTAACTCAACTAATTTTTGATTACTCAGTTGTTCCCAACTTTTGCCTACTTTTGGTTAGTAGGTAAGTGTATGTATTGACTGGCTGTCAGCAACAGTATAGGTATTACGACTCTACGCTCAAATAAATACCAGAGTAATGCAGCTCGGTTCATTACGTAGCAGTCCTCCGCGCTGTCACCAAGGTTCTCTCGTACCAGTACCTTGCCTTAACTGTCAGTACAACATTATATTTTCACTGAGTTCTGTTGCAGTGTTAACGTGTTTTAAAAGGAATATCACTGTGCAGGAGATATAAAAGCATTTACTGTATATGTAACAGAAGAAAAACATTATTTCCAATGTTTGGATTATAAGCAAAATTGTCATTTGGTGGCAAAGAAACATTTCGGCTTTAGTTTTATCTAAGTTTTGATTTTAATAAACAATAACGATACTTCACATTGACATGCTGTACTTATTTACGGT